ACATCTGACTTCATCCTGGGCCTGTATCCTTCAAAGAAAGACAAAATATTTAATAGCCACTCAACCCCTGTCAGTCTGATTTTCTTCACATTTCCGTTGTTGTCCTCCAGTTATGCCTCCTCTTGAATTGTTGCAAAGGTTTCTCAGTGTCACTAGAAAATCAAAGCAATAAAGGCAAGTTCAACAGAATGGAAACAGATAACATACATCTATTTAAAGGTTTAAAACCTACTAGGTACTAAATGAAGAGAGCAAAGATGTACAAAACATGGCCTTCAGCAACAAGAGTCCAGTGATGGTCAAGAGAGGTTTCATGACCCTGCAGCTCTAAGACTTTAGATTTCCAAATACCTCAAGTCCTTTGATGGATTTAAGGAGTGCTTTACAAATGAGTAACTTTATGGCAGCGAGCCTGAGACCACCAAGTGGCTAAGAGTCAAATGAAAGTAGTACACCTCTAAAATCATAATTACAATAAGTAAGTAAATTTGATTGACAAAACTTATCTGCACACTTGTTTGTGATTTAATTTTTAATTGGAAAGAAACTGTCTTAGCCTGAGACAAAGGCTTGCTTCCTTGAAAGTAATTTATTTGGGAGCAGGAGTTAGGGGTGGGGAAGTGAAACAGGGAATAAGAGAAAGCCAGCACAAAGATGCATTATTGTGTTAGCCTCCAACGAATGAATAGTATTCATCTCACAAGACCTTCTGAAGAACTTTATGACATCTCAGGACTGCCTGCCCCAGAGGATAAAAGAGGAAAATATATCAGTAGACTTTCCATTAGTCAAAGACAGTCCACACTTCTGGATAATGCACACGTGCGTGTGAAGTAAGTTCCCATGTGTGTCCCATGCTGCAACGTCAGAGAAGCTCTGGGGCAGGAGGCAACAAATATGTGACTAGGTCTTGAGGAGAGACACTGCCAGGTAGCATCTCTGCATGTGGCCTGAATCTGGGAAAACTTCTTAGCTTAAATAAGAAGTGTGGTTGAGAACATTCAAAGCGACATTCAAGAGGCGTTTAATATAAAACCATCATCAACTGTTTGGTGTACACCTGCCAAAATGCAACTTTTTAAGAACATCATTCATTCCTTTAGTCATCAATAAACCCATTCAACATTTAGTGAGTATCAACCACATGCCAGCCACTGTTTAGATACGGTAGAATAGAACAGCAACAAGACACGTAAGGTCCTTCCTCTCTTGGAGCTTACAGTCTATGTGGGGGAGGTGGGTATTAAATAAGACATTAGAAAATAATTACTGAGTTACAGCTGTGATAGGTGTTATAAAGGGGAGGTGTAGGATGGCAAACTTTCTACTTGTGAGAATCAAAGAAGGCTTCCCAGAGGAAGTGGCATTTTTTAAAGCTCAAATTTGCAGAGAAGAGGATTTAAAAAGCCAAGGGTGGGGGAGAGAGTAACTAGGAAGAGAGGAAGGGGAAGAGAGTGCACTGAAGACAGAAAGAAGCACATGAACAAATACTTGATGGTGAAAACACTGTCCTAAGTGTGAAGAAAGCCAGTGGGTCTAGAGCGCGCTGAGTGAGGGGTGATGGGGGTATAAGCTGAAGCAGGAGAGATGGGCATGAGCCAGATCATGCAGGGCCTGACCGTCAGAAGAAGAATACGATTTTATCCTAAGGTCACAGAAACCTGCTGAAGAGTTTTGACTAGGGAAACAATATGATTAGACTTTCTTTTCTGTGTGTTTTACATACATAAATCTAAATGTACTCATAAATTTGCACAGCAGAACCTCAGGCATATCACACAGATTTTAAAAAAGAATGCAGCCAATAATCACCCCAAAACTGTACAGATACAAACAGGAGTGTTGATGGGGTGGGAATGGAGGAGGAAGGGAGGTGGCCTGGAGTCTGAAGAGGTATGCATAGTTCACCTTTTTGTTTGTTTTTAGAGACTACATGTTCATCTGATTTGATGTCAAGGTAGTATTTGTGTAAGCCAGAATGAAATCCTCATTTAAAACTCTCATCCTTCTTTAAAAGTTTCAAAAGAAATGTTCTCTTCAAGACTAACCTCTTGTGGGTGGCGCTGGGGACCACCTACAGGGTGTGGTTTGAGAGGTGCTAAAGGACCACTCCTCACTTCAGTGTACATTTTCTCTGTCCTCCATCAGAGTCTAAAATTCTACCGTCATGATTCTATGTGGCTAGATTTTCAATTGCCAGGTTTGCTAGAAAAGAGTAATCCACTGGATCTAGTCCAGCTTCCTGGGACTGAGCTGATTTGACTGCATTTTCTCAGGGATGGGAGAGTTCCAAGTTTTTAAGATCACTGACCACACAAGGGTGTGTAGGGCCACGAGGTGGGTAGACTGCAACCCAGAGGAGCCCAATCTCCTTTTTTGACATCAATATTTTGTCTTGGGTTGGCCCTGGGATCAGCTGGTGTATACAGTATGGGCATACGTATAAACATGTGAATTTACATAGTAAAGATACATGGGTATATTTATGACACTTACATGACTTTATAAAATGAAAAGAAACATAGGCCCCAGGATTAGACCAACCTGAGTTCAGATCACAAGGTTTGTAACCCTGAGAAAGTTACTGTATCTTATGGGGTGGTCGGGAGAATTCAATGAGATAATATGTTTAAAGTCTTAACGCTGGTCAGTCGCATACAGCAAGTGCTCCAAGTGTTACTATGATTAAGATTATGTGTGTGTGCATCCTTATGCAAATGTATGCATGCATGTGCAGATATGAGTATGTAAAGGTGAGAGTGTGTTTAAGCACAAGAAAAGGAATAAGAGAAAATATTCCAATCTCTGCAATAGGAGTTCCAGCATAGGAGTGGCCCTTTGTAAGGAGTGAGACCACTGCAGGGTACAAAGGAAACTGATTCAACTTTGCTAAGTGGGGAACAGAGTAAGAGGATAGTAAACCACAAGGAAAATCCTTAGTGGGACAGACTCAGGATTAGGAATTAATAGAAGGAGATAGGCAAGCAGAATCGGATGGGTTGTTATCGAGCTCAAAAGTAAGGTTAAAAAAGTAGTAGTTGAAAGTGGTCTCTGAAATTGACCAACATCAAAATTAGGCCTCAGTGCCCAGAAAATAGATAACCATCTACTCCATCCCAAAGTTCTGGCCCAAGCGCATGTTTGATTTTTTGGAACTAACATGAAAAAAACATGGAAAAACATGTAAACAATGTTTTCAGATCTCCTGGTCTCCTCTTAAGATTTTCCCATTGAGCTGTATCAGAACTCAATCTGCATAATAATGGTCATCCTCAGTCTAGAGAGAAGATACAGTAATAACAATAATTTTTAAAAGAACACCTAGTTTCTTTTTCTTTTTTTGAGATAGAGTCTCACTCTGTCACCTAGGCTGGAGTGCAATGGCGTGGTCTCAACTCACTGCAGCCTCCAGCTTCCAGGTTCAAGTGATTCTTGTGCCTCGGCCTCCCAAGTACTCCCAGACACCACGCCCAGCCAATTTTTTGTATATTTAGTAGAGATCAGGCTTCACCATGTTAGCCAGGCTGGTCTCAAACACCTAACCTCAAACAATCCACCCATCTCAGCCTTCCAAAGTGCTAGGATTACAGGCGTGAGTCACCACAGCTGGCCTTGAACACCTAGTTTCTAGTCCCAGTTCTGCCCCTAGCTCACTGGACAACTTCAAAGACTCCCTTGATGTTTTTGGTTGCAGCTGCCTCACCTGCAAAAGAGAGCAGTCAGTTTTGGCCATTATCTTTTGACCTCGTGCCCTCTTAGAGAAGACTTAGCTACCTTCAACCACCTCTTCACCTCTTTTTATTTTTGGAGTCAGAACCTCACTCTGTCGCCTAGGTTGGAGTGCAGTGGTGCGATCTCAGCTCACTGCAGCTTCCGCTTCCTGGGTTTAAGTGATTCTCCTGCCTCAGCCCCCTGTGTAGCTGAGACTACAGGTGCGCACCATCATGCCCGGATAGTTTTTGTATTTTTAGTAGAGACAGGGTTTCACCATGTTGGCCAGGATGGTCTCGATCTCCTGACCTCATGATCCACCCACTTGGCCTCCCAAAGTGCTGGGATTACAGGCATTACAGGCATAAGCCACTGCCCCGCCCCGCCAGCCTCTTAAAGTTGTATCACTCCATGACATTGTTAAGAGCACAGACGACTTACCTTCCACTAACTGTGAGTCCTGGGTTGAGTTATTTACCCTCTCTGTGTCTCAAGTTCCCTAATCTACAAAATAAATGTAAAGAATTTAGTGTATCCTTTAAAGAGTTAAAGGGCTAACATAGGTATTTAGAACAGTGCTTGACACAGATAAGGGCTACCCTGGTATTAGGTAAGATTGTTATTACTTAGTCGGATACCTTTGTAATTTTACATGAAACGTATTATTGATAAATCAAAAAATAGAAATATGAGCATAATCTGAGGATATGAAAAGACTGCAGTTGGTAACAGGCAGGACAACTTTGGGACCACTGCTTTTCCTTTTTTGAAAAAGCTTCTCTGTGCTTTGATTTTTCGCATATGTGTGTATATACATGACACTCGTTGCTTAATTTAAACAGACTGAACAAAAAGATCACTGAAGTCCCTCTAAATTCAGAGTCTCTAAATTCAGAGATTGACTATGATCTTTAAAAAGCAATATTTTCTATGTGTCCGGCTTATCCTTGTTTTCATAGCTTAACCATTTTTACTTTTCACTTTCCCAGGAAATCCTTATGAAGTTTTAAAATAAACACAATCACTTTGGTATGTTTGTAACGGAGCAGGTTCCAATTCCTTGGCTACTAGAGAAAATGAGAAAGGTGAAAATAGGAACTTCGTAAATACCTGGCCTTAGGGACTGGTTTATGTTTTGCCTCTTACAATCTTTTCTCAGAAACGATTCAGTTAACTGTAGGAAAGATCATCAAGTTAACCACAACAAAAGCGTTGCTGGTAGGCAGCAGCCTGGCGGTGAAAGCGTTAACAGGGCTGGGAAAGGCGATCCCTTGAAATGAGTAAGACTGAGTGGTTCAAGTTTTTGAGCGGTGGCTGCAGCGGCGCTGGGGGAAAGGAAGCCGGTTGGAGGGAGCTGCGCACCCCTGCTGCGCTGAACTCAGCAGAGGTTACACGCACAAGGTTAGTGGCCCCCACACGCCACCCCAGCCCGCCACTGCGCTGACATCTTTGGAGAGGAGTCTTAGGAAGCGAGGCGCCATCGCTCATCCTGGCGTCATGCCTTTCCTGCTTACTAGTCGCTAGTGGGGCCACTGGCCTTCTTGCCAAACCTCTGGGTTCGGTGTTCACCGAAGTCCTGGCACTTGTAAGGGGCAGCTCACTTCTTCCCAGACTTCTAAACTGGAGGCTTCCTTTCATACATCCAAAAGGAAACTTGTTTCTGGAACAAACACTGTTTTCAGACCACACACACACACACACACACACACACACACAGAGAGAGAGAGAGAGAGAGAGAGAGAGAGAGAGAGAGAGAGAGAGAGAAAGACACACACACACGCTGACCTCTACCTGTATATGCTGCCCTAGTATGGTTTTTACAGGTTGTGACCACAATCCAGAATTCCTATCTGCTTCATTTGAAACTGAGAACAATGTCAAAGTAACTAAACAGGCTGCACGACTTTACTTTGTGGGAGGAATATTGTTTCTGAGCCTTAGGTAATCAGGATGGGAAGGGGGAAAAAAAAAAAAAGATGACAAAAGAAGAGAAACAAAGCTTCCAAGTACCCTGGCCTGTAGTTAAGGCAAAACAATTTTTGGAAATGGGTTTCTAATGGAAATTTTTCTTGTACATTGCTAGAAGAATGTGGGAAGATGTATTGTGAAGGAAATAATTCTACATCTGCATGAGATTCAGACCAACTTACCCAACTAAACTAATCCACATGTGATGCAGACGATAGATACACTTACATCTAGGAGATGGAGAAGGAGAAGATAGCTACCCAGAAATCGTGTTTGGAGGGGGCTTTGTTGTAAGAATTGCAATTGTCCAGGAGATTTCCCCAGGCAGGGGTAAAGGACCTCTTCCCGCCCTGGCTGGTAGAGAGAGCTTGGGTGGCCACTTCAGCAGGCCACTTTATGTCCCTGCTCTCCTGTCCCCGACAGGCAATGAGCAGTCAGTCCTGTGCTGAATGTTCCCTCTGATCCTCACGGCAGGCACGAGTTGAGTCTTATACCTGCTAGCATTGAATCAGAATGAGTCATTTGAAACTTGGGTGCCGGAACAAAGTACTTGTAAACTGCCTTATGAGACACTGCCTCCATGTAGGTGGGATAGACCTCTCAGAACAGTCACATTTTTTTTTCTCTCCTCTCTCTCCTTCAAGCAGGCAAGAATTCTGACGTTCTCAAGAGATCAGCTCTTCCCCGGGTGGCTCAAAGGACCCTACCATGTGGATTCTGCTTCTCCAGGTGGGGACTGGAGTTTTGAAATAAAATGGATGATTTGACGTTACTTGATCTTCTGGAGTGCCCTGTGTGCTTTGAGAAGCTCGACGTCACGGCAAAAGTCCTCCCTTGCCAGCACACCTTCTGCAAACCATGTCTACAGAGGGTTTTCAAGGCCCACCAGGAGCTGCGGTGCCCCGAATGCAGGACGCCAGTGTTTTGCAGCATCGAGGCGCTACCGGCCAACCTGCTGCTCGTGCGCCTTCTGGATGGCGTGCGCTCAGGGCAGAGCTCGGGAAGAGGGGGCTCCTTCCGCAGGCCCGGCACGATGACCTTGCAGGATGGCAGGAAAAGCAGGACCAACCCCAGACGTCTGCAGGCCAGTCCTTTCCGGCTAGTGCCTAATATCAGAATCCACATGGATGGGGTAAGAGAGATCTTATTTGTTACTATCATGTCCACTTGGGGGTTGGATTTGTGTATACAAGGAGCTAGAACTTACCTTTTTTTAGTTACATTTCAGAGTGCCGCTGGTGATTCCTAAGTGATATGTTTCTGTGGGCAGTGATCATTTTACTCAAATACAACAGAAGTCTGAGCCTATCTAATCATCCAAGAATTCTCTTTAGAACTATCAAAGCTTGGTAGGTTCTCCTTTTCCTTTTGTCCAGAAAGTAGTAGAACAAGGAAAGCCTTTTAGATTATAATTTTGGTATTTCACTTCTGCTGTTCTGAGGCCAAACCAGTGACTGAGAAATGCATGGAGGGTGGGAAAAGAAAACAAATCTAACTGCTTGTTGCTTTTGAGATCTCAGAAATTTCCAAATGTCGGGCTTTTTAAAAATTTTACCCAAATCCATCATCCCACCCCTAGTCATAAAGTGCTATTATGGCAATACTCATTCATACTCTGTTCCAAGCTATCAAGATACTTGACGCAGGAGATAGTGCAGGAGGGAAGCGTCTATGTGGGCGGACTGATTGATAGCAAAGGCTGGGCTGTGAAGTACATCAGCTGTGTATAGGAGCTCTGCAGATGTGTCTCGTTTTGCAAAATGGATGAAATACACGGAAGATACACAGCAGGGGCTGCAATTGAAAAACCAAACAGACCCAGTTGAGCCTCACAGATCACCCAGTAATGCTTTTATATTTGGATAATGGGAATCCCTCTGTCCAGAGCTGAAAGCACACCCTGAGGACTTCATCTGACCTGCCACGAGCCTTGTGGTGGACTAATGTGTAGGGGCACATCTGGAGAGAAGGACATGCTCCTTGTGAGTCCAGCAGAATTATTTGCACTGTCACCCCTGAAGTCAGTGTGACAAAGTGGACATGGAACGCTGTGGCTTGGGCCATTGGCATACTTAGAAAATCAAAACTGCATTCTTTGAAGTCTTACCTAGAGCAAGCATTAGATCTAAGGCTTGCTCTGACAGCAGGGTCCCGTGTATCCCTGCTGTGAAGAGGAACAGCATGTGGGAGAGTCTTGCAGGACTCCTTCCTCACTCAGGAGTGAGGAGTGGCTTGTGATACACATTTGGAGCAGTTTTCCAAAATTTTCCTTCTAACAGTTACCCCTTCCTGGGTTCACTGCACCTTGAAACCACCCATGGGACATGTGTAAACATTTAAAAATGAGGGTGAGAAGAAGTGGGACATTTTTTCACTATAGACTCTTGATTTCTCCACCGTAGACTATTGCCATTGTGCTTATATGCGAACGCATTCCAGAAAAGGGCTTGGAACTCTTTCTAAGTCCCTCCACTAGCCCTGGTCTAGTCATCAATCAGAATCCACTGGTCTGGAAATGGCAGAATCGGGGGTGAGGAGGCAAATTGTTCTCAAACATGCCTTGTTTGTAGAGAAAAGGGCTCTATCTCTGGGTCAGCAAATCCTCCTTGAATTCCTAAGACCCAGCAACCTCTCCCCCTCCTCACCTTGCAGAAGTCTGACTGCCTTTTAACAGAGTATCATCGCTCACTCAAGAAATGGTGTCACAGTGGGAGGAGGCAGTTCCCTTATCAACTTGGAATATTTTTGCTGTGGTTTTCACCTTTCTCAGTGTGGCTGTGTTGCAAAGAAAAGGTAGCGATGAATTGATTTACAGTTACCAAGTTTTTGAACCACAGAGGATTCCCAGAATCCTTCTGGCACAGGCAATTGAGGAGAGAGCTGGTCATACATAAGAGACAGCCATTAAGATACTGGGTCTCTCTGGAATTCTTTTGCAGAGACTTATAACACCAGACTATGGTCTGTGCCCACCCTCCAAGCTGCTCTGGACCAAGTCCTGTCGTTAGGCTGCAACTCAAGAACTCCTGTGTTCAGGCAGGACCTGGGCTAGAAAGACGCTCTGTAAGAGAGCAGAGCTGGCACCCCCATCCCCCCACTTCCCAATTCCTTCATTTCCTACCTATCCTTTCTTGAAGTGACTCCTCTCATCCCTTTTGCCTTCCTCAATGGGAATATGAGCAAACCCATTTCTGGATGTCAATATGGCTGTCGTTCTGCAACATGCCTCTGCTCCCAAAAATATTAACTATATTTTTGGTAAGCATGAAAGCAACCATGCATCCCTCAGTTAAAAGAACTAAGGCTTTTCTGGATGCCACAGTCTGTTCAGAGTCAGAGGAATGGACTTGCATCCTTGGTCAAATCCTCCTGAGTTCCTTGCCCTCTCTGCCACAGTTCAGCCAATCTAGTCAAAAGCTAGTAACACTTGCTACCCACCTTCCTCCAAGATAGTGTGAAAATTATCTTTGCAACATATACTTAAAGCCTTAGAAAACATCTGCTATGTGAATGCAAAGCATCATCATTAAGATTCATGTAGACATGCTGTGTGACTTTGGGCAAGCCACTTATGTTTGCTGAATCTCAATGTAAAATTCTGTAAAATGGGAAGATGTCTTTTATAAAAACAGACAACCACTGTGAGGCGTTACTAATTAATGTCTGCAAAACATTTTGAGAGCCTTAGATGAAACACATTTGGAAGATCGTTATCGCAGTGAACATGATTATTGACTGTGCATTGTGCCCTGCCACGCATGAGGCATGCTACAAAACGTAGAAGGAGTAACAGCCCTTGCGGGAGAGTGTAATAGGTATGATTATCATTAAACTTGATTCTATGGTGAGTGCAGGCCAGGATAATACCAAGTATAAAGTACTCCTCACAGAGAGCATAAATAACCTGTTGTCACAGGGTGCCATTTTGTAAAACTTTCAAAGGACTTGCCGATAACCTGGCATTCCAGAGAGTTCATTTAACTTCCTGTCTGTGAGCTTTTGAAGCCCAGAGTCTGTTCTGCTCACCTAGACTCATCTAAAAAACAAGCTCATCGAGCTCCTTTTGTTGGCTCAAAGAGGCCCGATGCATCCTGTGCCAGCCAGTGTTCTAGGGTGGAACCAATCGTCACACCTCATGGTGCCAGCCCAATAGAGAGAAAAAAATAGTCTATTGTGCCTACATGTCTAAAACCCTCCCAAGATGATTGTGTAAAAAGAAAACTTGAGAAACAGCTGTAGGTTTCCACAGCATGCAATTATTTCAAACCAACAGGCAAGATCACCAGACTCCTCTGGGAGGAGCCCGTGGTGGTACAAATCCCACTGGTCCTTATTCCTTCCCCTAATCCAGGGAAAGCAAAGGAAGTTGGCAAGCCTTCAAAAGGACTGTACGTTCCTGAAATCTGATCTCTCTTCCTCCTCATTTTGTTACACCTTAGTAATATTTCTGACTTAGGATAGGTCGTAAAGCAGAGAAGTTAAGAATCTGTGCACTTGGGTTTGAGAAATACCAAAATTCAAATCCCGACTCTGACCCTCAACAGTTGTGTACTTTGGGTGACTCACTTAAACCTCAGGTCCTCCAATTCCCCATCTGTAAACTGGAGATAATAGTAGTACCTACCTCAGAGGGTTGTTGTGAGAATAAGTGAGATGATTCATGTCACTTAGCTCTAAGCACAGTGACTGGCTCATATTAAGTGCTCAGTAAATGTTAGCTGTGGTTGTTATTGAAATGACTCAATACTTTCTACTCTAAATAACCCATACCTTTGGATGGCTTTGATTCCTGACTCAGAGATTCCTGAATGGGAAATTGAGTTAAGTTGAGTTAGAAGTAGACAAAGGAGAATCCGGTTAAAAGATATTCTGATAAGCAAAACCAGAAAAACTTTTCACATCTCAGTTCTAAAACAAGATCAAACCGGAGATACCTGCAGCCAGGAGGAATAATGTCTGGATGCAAACAAGCTTTGTGATTACAGGAAATTCTGTTACTTTTTACAACCACTGATTGTGTATCTGACTTCTCAATTGTATAGGCCATGTAAGGTATACATTTGCATTTCCTCTTGCAACCATTGTGTATCTGATTTCTCTATTGTATAGGCCATGTGAGGCATACATTTACATTCCTCTTACTATGACGTAAACCAGAGCCAAGAAAGTGTATTTATTCCTGGCATTTGAAAAATAAAATTTGCTGTTTAGGCACAGCCTATCAGCCCTCCAGACGCCTCGCTTTCTCTCTCTCTGTCTTTATTATTTTCTCAGCAGGCCCTTATTAAGCAAGTGCCATCCAGGGATGGTCCTTGGTGCCCTGATTTTTTGTTGTTTTGTTTGCTTCCATATGATCTGTGGCCATGATTCAGATGTATGATTCTTCCCAGCATGCGCTGGTTTTGCAGCTCACTTCCAGTACCCTTAAGGTGCTAATGATCAATTCTAGGAGAAAACTCCTGAACTAATTTCACTTCCCCAAACAGTGCATTCAAAGGAAAACTATGCACAGGGCAAGAACCTGGTCTACTTCCTCAGCATCATCAATTCTTCATTAACTTTTCTGTCTTTCATTTTTTCCTGCTCACTCTATGCCCGAACACAAATGTTGCCGTGGGTTCTGTGAGCCTGGACTTTCTACATTGCTAGTATCATGCCAGTCACACACATTTCGGTCTTACTCCAGCACACAGACCAGACCAGGTGGCTTTGTCCTAGAAACTTTTCAGCTGGTGTTGCAAGCAACTGATGGGAAAAAAAATGAGGTTAGAAAGCACATCAGGGAGTTGAGGTTGGGCAGAAACCAGAAGGTAGGCCAGCCCTTTTCCTGGGTCTCAGAGACTGTATCCTGTGACAGAGCTGTGATGTAGACAGTGGGTTTTTTTTTTTTTGCTAAATTTGCAAAGAGATTAATATCATACCAGGCCCCTGAAAACACATATAAGTGCCATTTGGGACAGCAAGGACCATATGTGGCAGGTGGAGAAAGACATAAAGGTAAGGGGCTGAGGTTGAAAAGTCAAGAGACCTAGATAGTTCTCCAGCTTCATACGCATTTGCAAACATTTTTAATAACCGCATGGCCCCACATTGGCACTGCCTCCAATCTCTCTCAGTGCACCTCTTTCCTAA